CCCGGAGCCATGATATCAGGCTTCAGGATGAATGGACAACTTGGTGATGGTCCTCTTGAGCTATAGCTGGCCACTTTTGGAGCTGATTTAATCCCCAGTCTTGTCTGTTCAAACTTAATGCTTGCTTTTGGATCAGATTCTTTCTTAATGTAGTCCAAAATATTTTGACCTTCTTCAAGATTGAAAAAGGCTGCTGGAAATCTGCTTTCGGTGAAGAACTCTAAATCGGTGTTGTTTGTTATGAAGAAACCACCAATGACTTTTGCATTGCCCACATTGTACAATTGTTCAGTCAGCTTATCATTAGAGTCAAGACACACTGCAATCTTGTCTCCAATTTTCTTCAATTCCTTCTCATTTTTGCAATCCACGAATACAATCGGGAATACATCAGATGAAGAAAAGTTTCCTGGGTAGAGAGATAAACCCGTGACTGAGATTCCATTGCCAAGTGTTAAACTCGCCTCGAATTGCCTGACAATTGTTCCAGCAGCAACATTGAGGACCCAAGGTGAACCATTGTGCAAAGTTCCAATATATGGACCCTCATTTCCAGATGAAGCAGAAACAAATATACCCTTTTCCACTGCTGCAAAAGTAGCTATGGCAACAGGATCTGCATACAGAGGAAGACCATCTATTCCCAGTGATAAGGATAATACATCCACCCCATCCATTATTGCCTGATCAATTGCAGCCAGAATATCAGATAAATAAACGCCTTCATCCCACAAGGCCTTGTACATGGCAATTCGAGCCTTGGGAGCAATGCCTCGGGAAGTCCCTGAGGCGTAGCCGAAGAATGATGCAGCCTCAACATAATTACCACCTGCTGTGGACGAAGTGTGAGTCCCATGCCCATCAGTATCGCGCGCAGAATTCATTGTGATGGTCAAGTTGGGATAGTTTGCAAGTAGGCCTTTGTTGAAATATCTTGCTCCAATAAGCTTTTTGTTGCACAAGGAGGAATTAAACTGAGTACCACTTTCACATTCTCCTTTCCATCTTGATGGAATATCAGTCATTCCATCATCCCTAAAGCTTTCGCTCTCAGGCCAAACTCCAGTATCCACCACTCCAATTATGACATCTTTTCCATAGTCCGATTCTGGCCACGCCCCTTGATTAGAATTCAGGCCAAGGAATTGGTATGAATGAGTGGTGTCAACTATGGCACTAGTATCTTTAACTGAAGAAACATAACCTGGGAAATTTCTGAGGGATTCAAGCTCAGCGTGTGAAAGAGTTGCACTGAAACCACTGATAACATTAGTGTAAGCATATACAAGTTTAGAAGACGACACGGAATCTATGCTGGTTTCAACACTATTTGATATGGAGGCAAGAGTGGTTAAGTACCAGTTACGGTGGCTAGAAAAGGTTTTGGGCATGGTTGATAAGTCCATATGGACAATATAAGTGTCTGATTCAGCCAAAATTGGGACCATATATGGAAATGAAACATAGAGGAAAAACAAACACAGAGAGAAATTAATTGCCATTGTTCAGCAAAGAAACAGGATATTCTTAAACTGAAGCCAGTCGACACATATATAAAAGAAAAGGGTATGGAGTTCCAAAGTGGATCCTTACTCCACCGTCTCTATTACTTTGTCCATGGTATGGTATATAGAGACCCCCCCACGGCCCCACCCCACCCCTACCCCCAAAGGGACCTCACCATTTTTTGCCCATTACGCTAAAAACGTGCCATAATGCTACAATATCAAGCTATGGCATTTCAAAAGGTCTATTAATAAGGTTCTACATAGGGTATAATATAGCTGTAGGAAGGATAAAATTTCGATCTCAAACATAATTTAACGTAACCATTTTTAAAAATTATATAAAATTTTATATAAACCAGAATCGTTGGCCGTGGACGGACCGAACAACAATCATTCCCCACCCCTCCAATCATTCATGGAATCGAAAATTAAATAAAAAGAGGAAGCTAAAATGCAAAATAGGCAATGAAAATATGATATTTGGCACCATGGACACCCGAATCAGTGTGCGGAATCCAATTCACGGGTAAGAATTTGACAATATTGGAATATTTGATGGTCCACAAAACCTAGCAAGTTTGGATAATGAAATATGTTTGTTACACTCAATTATTTAATTATGTGACAAAATTTATAAATTATTCTCTAAGGTGTGATCTAGATTTCCAAATTTGCTGGCGAGATGGACTAGTCTCCATCTTCCTTACTGAAATTGAGCGTGCCGAAATATATACGGAAATTTGCAAAATACAACATTTATATAAAGTGTAATTACACTTGGTCCCTGTTTGCTATAGATTAAAATCAGATTTTTAGTAGATTTTGATAAAGTTGAGGAAATATATAGTTGAAAAGTTGTAGATCTCGTAATATGTGTGTTAAAATTAATTGTTGACTTTAGTACTTGAGATTAAAATCAAATTTTAATCAGAATCAAACAGGGACTTGATATATTTTATGTTATAAATTTATATTTTACATACTGTAATTTGCATAGTGATTACAATTAAAAAAAAAACATTAGCTGAAAAATATACATATATACCATCATAAATAGTTGAATGTCTAAACAAACAATAATATTGAAATAAAAAATCACACCATATATTGCATTTTATTTTCTAGTTATTGATTCTTCTTTTTTTTTTTTTATTAAAACTCTAACGTCAAATCAATTAAAAGTAAGTTTAGTAAATTTATAAAATACTTCAGTCGTCTCTTCCAACATTATAAAAATAAATAAATAAAATTAATTTCTCTATTTAATTAGCAAAAATTGTTCAATAAATAAAATCTAAAAAATCAATTAAAATAATTTTTTTATTAGTTATTATTTTGCAGCTAAAAATCAATTTCTTTTTAATTTAAAGCTGGGATAATTTTGAAACTTAAGAAGTTGTTAAGAATGTATTCATACTTGTATTGGTGTCTATTATACAGATGATTTTTTTATTTTTTATTTTTGGTGAAAAAACTTCATAAAGGAGAGAAGAATTTATAACTATACCTAATAAAATCCTATAATTTTAGGTGAAAAATGAAATTGGAAACAAATTATATGTATGATGTCGTGAGACGACTAGATTAGATGTTAATTTATGAAGGGATACATGAATAAGAAAGAAAAATAAATAATTTTATATTTGCATGAAAAGAAATAATAATTAAATTTTTGGAGAATAAAGAAAGTTAAAACATTGTTATGTGAGGTGTTAAAATGTCATTCAAAGGGTGCGATATATTGTTCGTGCAAAATTCGCAAGTGTACGGGATCATTGATAAGTAATAGATTGACGAGTTGAAAATATCGTCCCACAGGGAATAAAATTTAATTCAAGTTTACTAATTTTTTATGGGATTCGAATTGTGTAAAGAAAATAAAGATTTTGATTTGATATTATGCTAAATTATCTAAGAAAACAGTAAAAAGTGTTTTACATCAAATTATGAATGATTGTATTGGATCTCGAATCCACCAATTGCTATCTATTTCAATTCTTGATTCGTAATCTAGTTATGTTCATACGATCTTGACAATCGATAAAACTTTAATATATAATTTTCTTTTCCAAGANTATGGATGATTGTATTGGATTTCGAATCCGCCTATTTTTATATATTTCAATTCTTGATTTGTAATCTAGTTTCGTTCATGCGTTCTTGACAATCGATAAAACTATGATATATAATTTTCTTTTCCAAGACAAATTAAATCTATCCTAACCACGACCCTAATCTATTCGTAACTTGAATTCGAATGATTAGAATGCATTAGAATTTAGATTATCTATATGATTGCACATGTTATAAATGTTATTCATAATATCTATTGCACATATGTCAATTTTGTTGCGTTCTAAACTTATTGTGGGGCTTCCAACACTACAATAAGCAATTAATTATCTAATTGGTGATCAATCAATTAAATAATGTAATGTGTATGCAAAATTAATCAAGAAATGCAAGAAATAAACTAAACTATTAATCTTGAATTAAAACAAATAAACAATATGGTTCATTTCCATCCAATACAAAAACGAATTTAGGCTAGCATGTTAATATATAAATTACAAGAAGAATAATAAAAAAATATCACCCGGATCATGAAATAAATCAAAAGAAGTTGATCTTCAAGCTTACGGTCGAATTCTTCAAAATCTTGATGTAATTGACCTTCAATTTCTTTTTAGGGCTTGATCTTCTCTCTCAAAATATAGTAATTGACATCTTGTTCTTGATGAATTTGATGAAACTATGGTGTATAAAGAGGCAAAAGAGGTTCCTCATTATGTGTAGCCCTCGTTCTCCATTTATAAGAGTCAAAATATATGTCAAAATCATGTCCAATTTGGTTTCCAAAAGAGTTTGAATCGCGAAAGAAAACTAAAGATTCGTGTACGAAATAGGCACGTGCGGGTGTAACGCTATAACTACTGCACACGCGTCGTAGAACCAAATGGCTCTCAGGTTGGGGAAAATAGTGTCGTGCGCGCGCGCTCCATGAATTGGCTGCACTCGCAGGTTCGTCTCTTAACAATTTTCATATTTTGATCCTAACTTTCTTTACAGGTATCTGATTGAAATGATTCAAAATACATTGAAAATATAATTAAAAGATCTACAATTCTTCTAGAAATATCATTTTTGCAATTCAAACGTTTACTATCCAAACAATGGGCCTCAAGTAAGGCTAAAAATTCGGAGTATAACTTCTTCAACTGGAAATTGATTTGTGAAAATACTTCCACTATATTTCACTCCTTTGACCTCCAGTTGCATCCAATTGATCCTATATGATCTTCAATTCTCGTTATGTGGTCCGAATCATCTATTGGATGTTTACACTTTGGTCCCCAAATTTTGGATTTCCTNTATATTTCACTCCTTTGACCTCCAATTGGTTTTATATGATCTTTAATTATCGTTTTGTGGTCCGAACCATCTATTCGATGTTTACACTTTGGTCCCCAAACTTTGATTTCCTTCGTTTTTGTACATTTTTCGTTCCTTTTTTCCAAATCCATCAATTTGCATCGAGATCAGCCTAACAAACATAACTGACAAATACACTTAGGTTATAATTTTGTTTGAGGACAAACAAATGTTCTAATGGCCTAGATAAGTGTAACAAATACACTTATCAAACACCCCCAAACTTCAACATTTGTTTGTCCTCAAACAAAATTATAACCTACCTTAACCAAAAAATTTAAACACGTGTATAGTTAGATAATTTGTCTTTTATCTCAAGATTGGAATATATGTATAAAAACCATGAACTGCTACAAAATTACATTGCCAAAATTAATTTCTACTTTTCCATTGCAAAATCGATGTGTGTGTGTGTGTGTGTGTGAAAATTCATGTCAAGCATCATAAATTCATAGAGTGATTCAAATCTCAACCCTCGATAGTTAAATTTGTTATTTCTCCTCTCGTGAGTTTGACAACTCCAAATTTATTCTTTTCACTTTTCCCATAGTGTAATCTAATATTGAACTTATATACTATTCCTCACCATCTCTAGTTTGGTTAGATCTTACCAATTACAGTTCAACATATCAACAAATGGGGATTCTCTTTATTTTTGATTGGTTTAACTTTTAAGAATCAGTTAAGCTAATAATCTCTTGTCAAATGTCTAATTCTCTCAATTGAGTGTTCGGTGCATAATCAAGACAAGTAAGAATTTTCTTTTTTAAACTATTGTGCACACTCCTTTCCATTAAACTTTCTAAATGACCCTTGTAGCGAGTTTTCAACAAATGACTCTCAAGTCAAATGACCATAGGGTACCAGGTTTTTAGATACATTTGCAGACTTAATCACTTGAGTCATAAATGCTAAAAAGAGAAGTTTCACAATAAGATAATAGCACATATTCATTATTTTTTCTAATTTTTTTCTAATTTTTTTTTCTCTTTTTATATGATCCGTGCAATACCCCTTTATAAACACTCATTTTCAAAAATCGACTCCCAACTTAAGATTTTAATCTAATTTTCATCTTATTAGCCTTAGACAATCCATACGAAATTTAGCACATATGTAATCCACATATATATATCAATGTCTCACTACAACAGCTCAATCACCCCCAAACTATCTTAAAAT